CAGCATCCCAAAGGCACCTGCCATGTCCCCCTGTGTCCCTCAGCATGCCTTCACCTCTCCCAGTGCCCCCAGTGTCTCCCCATATCCTCCAGTGGCCCTGAGACTCCTTTGTGTCCCGCAGCCACCCCACATGTACCCCAGCCACCTCTTGTGTTCTCCAGCCACATGTCCTCCAGCCACCCCTCATGTCCCCAATCCACCCCTTGTGTCCTCCAGCCACCTCTTGTGTTCCTCAGCCACCCCTCATGTCCCCAAGCCACCCCTTGTGTCCTCCAGCCACCTGTGTCCCTCAGCCACCCCTCATGTCCCCAAGCCACCCCTTGTGTCCTCCAGCCACCTGTGTCCCTCAGCCACCCCTCATGTCCCCAAGCCACCCCTTGTGTCCTCCAGCCACCTGTGTCCCTCAGCCACCCCTCATGTCCCCAAGCCACCCCTTGTGTCCTCCAGCCACCTGTGTCCCTCAGCCACCCCTCATGTCCCCAAGCCACCCCTTGTGTCCTCCAGCCACCTGTGTCCCTCAGCCACCCCTCATGTCCCCAAGCCACCCCTTGTGTCCTCCAGCCACCTGTGTCCCTCAGCCACCCCTCATGTCCCCAAGCCACCCCTTGTGTCCTCCAGCCACCTGTGTCCCTCAGCCACCCCTCATGTCCCCAAGCCACCCCTTGTGTCCTCCAGCCACCTGTGTCCCTCAGCCACCCCTCATGTCCCCAAGCCACCCCTTGTGTCCTCCAGCCACCTGTGTTCCTCAGCCACCCCTCATGTCCCCAAGCCACCTCTCGTGTCCTCCAGCCACCTCGTGTCCCTCAGCCACCCCTCATGTCCTCCAGCCACCCCTTGTGTCCCCTAGCCACGTCTTGTGTCCTCCAGCCACCCCTCACGTACCCCAGACGACCCCAATGGCTCCCACCTACTCCCAGTGACCACCAGCCACCCCAACTGGTCCCTCCTCCTCCCTCATGACCTCCACGGGGTTGGCACCTCTGTCCCTCTTTGTCCCTCCTACCAGGCCCAGCCCTGAGCCCCCTCCTACCCTCAGGTGTGATGAGCTGGTGAGGGCTCAGCCCCTCCTGCCCTGTCCCTGGGTCTGCAGCATCTTTGGCTCTTCGGGGCTCCTCTGCGCCCACCTCTGCTCTCCACATCCCCCCCCCAACCACAGGGCAGGCATAACCGGCCCCCACCTCCCCTCTCGCCTCCTCCAGAAGATGCTGATTTTGGCAGCAGTAGTGGTGCTCTTGCTGGCGATAGTTGCGCTCATCATCGGACTTTCTGTGGGGTTAAACAAGAAATAACCCTCGAAGTGGGGGCTGTGGTCTGTAAGTGTTTGGGGGGGAGGGGGGGGAGGGGGAGGAGCCCCACCATGGGTTTGGGGCTGTGCCTTGAGGGTTTGGGGATGGCAAACAGCCACTGCTGGGCTGCCGTGGGGCTTTGTGGCCCCTGTGCCGGCATCTGGCTCTTTGGTGCTTTGGTTTCTGCCGCTGCCTTTGGGGCTGGGGGTGCTGGGCTCTGGGTGCTCGCTGTCCGGTGGCCTCGTGTCTGCGGTGTGCGGGGCTCTGCGGTGCTCCGGGGTCTGTATTTCAGCTCTACGTTCCCCATGTCAGTCTCTGTCATCCTTGCCGGGCCCTCCCGCAGCCCCTTGTCCCTCTCCCCGCCATCCTCTCCGACCTGGGGGGCTGACATCTCCCCCTTTCCCTCTCCTCCAGATGCTTCTGACCATCCCAGCGGCGACGTCTCCCAGTGGGACCCTCCCCAGCACCACGGCCTGGCCCCCTCCTCTCCCCACTTCTCCCAGACCCACTGTCCTTACTCCTGGCATTCCAGCTCCCACCCTGGACTCCAGCTCCGCACCACCGCCCCCCCTTCACGGAGGGACCCCAACACCAGACTCCTCTCTCACACCAAACCATCCCCTGCGACCCTCCAGTCCCCTGGGGTCTGCCCCTCTTGTCCTCATGTCCCCTGCGGGAACAGGACTATTTATTTTCCTTTTACTGATAAATGAACTTCTCCCGGCCCCCCAAATCTTGCTGGGGGGAGCGAGGGGCCCACAGTGGCACCACTGGGATGTGGCAACCAGTGCCACAGCTCCAGCGAGAGGAGACAAGGTGCCGCACTCGGAGCAGGCCAGGGCTGGACCCTCCCCTGCGTGGGGACAAGGGACACGGTCAGGTGGGGGGTTTTAGCGGCACCAGCAGCCGCCAGCAGGTCTGGCCACGCTTTGCTGCTCACAGTGTCGCAGCAGACTGAGCTACCGGGGACCCCTGTCCCCTCCTGGCCTTGATGTCTGCGGCTGGCACGTCCTCCCCGACGTCGTGGGGAGCTGGGGCGGGAGGAGGCGGCAGTCGTGGTTATTTAATTGCCATTATAATAAAGATCCCCGCTGACGCCCGCCCTGCGCCTCTCCTCTCCGTGTGCAATGCAATGCCGGGGTGCTGCGGGTACAAGTGGGGTGCTGGCACCCCCAAACACCCGAAACAGGGGTTGAGCATGGCTCTGGCTCAGCTCATGGCAGCTGCGGCATCGTGGCTGGGCTGGCAGGTTTAGCTGAGGGGTCTGGGATCAGCCTCTGTTTTGGGGGTGATGCAGCCCCTTGGGGCGATATGACAGGGGAGCACGGGGCTGGGAACACCCACCAAGCCCCACAGATTCCACCAGGCTGGGCCAGACCATTGTCCCCTCTGCGATTTTGGGTAAGTCATGGTGATGGGGACGTGTCCCTGCTGCGGCAGAGCCATGTCCAGGTGCTGCACAGGACCAGCTCACACCTGCCCCGCTGCCCCCTCAGCCCCTGTCCCTTGTCTTCCCCTCCCCAGCCCCATGCCACCCTCGGCCCTGCCTCACAGCCCCTCTCTCTCCTCACAGAAGAAGATCTTGATCATGATATGCTGCATCATCCTCATCATCATCTTGGCTGCCAGCATTGGGAGCATCTTCGCCTGAGACTCCCCCACCTGGTGCCCTCCAGGTGACTAGTTGGGGTCCTCGCTACCACCCCATGCCTGGGGAGCGAGTTTGGGCCTCGGTGCGGTTAGTCCAGGTGGGATTCACACTCCCTCGGACTTGCCAGCGTCTCCATAAGACAATGGCACAGACCTGGCGTCCCCCAGCAGCCACATCAGGGAGAGGTGGGAGCCACATCCCCTTTCTCAGCTTCACCTCATCTTCCTCCCTGTTGCAGGTGGCCTTTCCCCCTCCTGCCCCGGCATCGCCCGGATGATCCCGCCTGCGGCTCCGGCCATCGGAGAGACCCTGACCGCCAGCTCCCGGGACCCTCCTGCCAAGCCCTCGGTCCCCGGAGCCCCCAAGGACATCCCTCGCCTACCTGGAGGAGTGGAGACCACCTGCCCCACTCCCCAATTCCCTCCCACCAACGCCCCAAATTCCCCACTTGCTCCCCATCCTCTGTTTGGCCGACAGTCAGCAGCCTCTGCATCAAAGCAGCCCCCTCCTCGGCAGCACAGAGCGTCCGCGTTCCTCCCCGGGGCAGCGTGCGGGTGATGTAGAGGACTGCCTCGCTCGGGGTAGAAGGAGGAACCTTTCCCCTCACTCAAGAGCTCATCTGCGGCAACTTCTTCACCTCGCCGGCTCTTCGGATGCGCAGCCGCCTCCGCCGGAATCTTCCTCCTCAATAAAGAGATCCCCCACGCTCTGCTGCGGGGTTCTGCATGTCTCAGCGGTGGGAAACAAGCCCTGCTGCGTTCATCACCTCCGGGATGCTCCTGGCACTGTGTTTGCACCTCCCCCCCCCCAAAAAAAACTCCCACAGCAGCCGACGCAGGTTCTTGGGAGAAGGTTTAATTAAAGAGGCCCCTCCCCAGCTGTTTGTTAAATTCGGTGTTTCAGGAAGAATTTGCCCCAGTAGCGTCCCTTTAGCTGCAGGTCATAGGGGCTGAGGTACTTGCGCATCCCCAGCATGTTGGCGGTGACGATGCGCTCGAAGGTCCAGGGGTTTTGGTTGTTGAGTTTCTTTTCCTCTTCCTCCCGCCGCATCTGCTCAAGGCTGTGGCGGCTGACGGCGATGGCGGGGAAGGGCAGTTTCTTGGCCACCTGCGTGAGGAAAGGTTTCACCTCCTCAAACTCGCAGCGCCCGCCTACCTCCACCACCAAACGCCCGGTCTTCACCGCTGTCACGTAGTGATCGATGGGGCCCTTCCCGCCCCCCATGCGGTGCCCCAGGCTCTTCCGTGTCACCGGTTTGTAAGGGGCCGGCACACGCCAGATGGCAAACATGGTCTTGGGGTCCATGTTGCGGCCGATGGTCAGGCGGATCATCTCAAAGTGGCCCCACTGGAGGTAACCACCCCCCATGGCCTGTGGGGGGAAGGACAGGGCATCTCAAGGAACAGCAGGGGCAGGGCGAGGGGGATAGAGGTTCCCCTGTCCTGCCCTGCGCCACCAGCCAACCCCCCACACTTTGCACATGTTTTGGGGGGAGAAACAGACTCACTGAGGAAATCTCACAGAATCACCTGGGTTGCAAAAGCCCTTGAAGCTCCTCCAGTCCAACCATGACCCTCACACTGACCGTTCCCAACTCCACCAGATCCCTCAGCGCTGGGTCAACCCGACTCTTCAACCCCTCCAGGGATGGGGACACCCCCCCTGCCCTGGGCAGCCCATTCCAACGCCCAACAGCCCCTTCTGCAAAGAAATCCTTCCTCAGAGCCAGCCTGACCCTGCCCTGG